GCATGTCCGAGGGCGTGTGAGCGGCCACAGACCGAGGAGAACGGAAGACTGTCTGTTCCTGGACATGGGCGCACACGGCCCAGGGGTGGGCACTGCCCTCCGGGAAACACCTGAGGCGGCGCTGACCCCACAGGGACTGGGCACCGCCCTCAGCACCAGGGCTCCTCCTCCATCCGCTCTCGGGGTCCCCCGGCGTCCTGCCCCCGCGCCCATGAAGCAGCAGCTGCCGAGGAGGCGAGGACGAGGCCTGCACCCTGCGCCCTGCCCTCCACAAGGTCAGCAGAGGCAGAAGGAGGCCCCTGGAGCCTCAAAGCTGCCTCTTGTACGAATAACCGACTCTGAGTGTCCTGGGCAGCCACCCCCCAGCTCGAATTCAGGGCCCACGGAGCACCTGGCCTAACACAGGAGAGCGAGCTTTGCTCCCGTGGATGTGGCCACGCTCACTGATCACGTGGCGTCTCCGGAAGTGAGTCATGAAGAGCGATGAGGAGCGCCAGCCGTGGCTCTGCCACCACCTTCTCATGGGCGAACGGGGTCTCTGGCGCAGCCGCCTATTGAGAAACTCCCGGTGCGGGGCGTGGAGCCGTGACTCCCGGTGCGGGACTCCCAGTGCGGGGCGTGGAGCCGTGACTCCCGGTGCGGGACTCCCGGTGTGGGGCGTGGAGCCGGGACTCCCGGTGCGGGACTCCCGGTGCGGGGCGTGGAGCCGGGACTCCCGGTGCGGGACGCGGAGCCGTGACTCCGGTGCGGAGAGAGGGGCGGCAGGCGAACGCTAAGAGGACTCCGTCCCACTCGGTCTCCCTGTGCAGCAATGGCGCCCCCTCCTCAGGGGAGCAAGAGCACAGGTAACGAACGAGCAGGTGGACGGCTGTCCTCCCTCGGCCCCAAAGGACTTTCCCACGTGCCCTCCATGGCGGGAGGGCAGAGCCGCTGCTGGGAAGTCGCCAGGAAGGTGCGGTCCTATGGATGCGGGAGGGGCCACCGTGGTGTCTCTGGCGACTATGCCCGGGACTCCCAGCAGCAGAGCTGAGATGGAAATCTTCTCGATTAAAACAAAGGGAATTATGTAAACACCTGCATCCCGGGACTCCCGCCACGAGGGGAAAGCACGCGCCCCGTTGCCCTGGCACAGAAGCCACACCCTGCTGAGGCAGGGCCAGGCTCTATGTGGGGTATTTGCCAGGAGTGGGTGTCATGGCTCCCACTCGGCACCCGACAAAGGAGCCTGCCAGCCCCCGCTGACGGGCAGAGCGGCGGCCTCGCGTCACCCAGCGGCCTGGACAGGCTCTGCTTCCGGGAAAGTTTCAGACCCCCAGGCGACAGGTCTGTTCTGAATGAGCACAATCTCAGCAACATGCTGATGGTGTCAGGAGAGGAGCCCAGCCCCCACCCTGTGCCAAATGCCCAGGTCCCAGCAGACGCACAGGCGACTGTCCCTCAAACCCTGCAGGGCCCCCAGGAGGCGCTGGAGGAGCTGGCTGTGTGCAGTGGAGGCAGGAAGAGCAGGTGGCCGGACACCTGAGAGGCTGGGACATGCACGCCTCGCCCATCAGGTGTGGGTGAGATAAAAGGAGACCCTTCAGCTCCTCCCCAGGACCCAGAGGGCCAGAGGCTGGAGGCTCCCACGCAGGTGGGCGGCTGGGTGGAGGCAGGGTGGGTGATAAAGGTGGGTGAGTGGATGGGATGACATGGGAGGGAGATGGAGGAGGAGGGTGAGTGGACAGGCAGGTGTGGGAGGGAGGAGGGAGGAAGAGGGTGAGTGGACAGGTAGGTGTAGGAGGGAGGAGGGAGGAGGAGGGTGAATGGATGGATGGGTGTGGGAGGGAGGAGGGAGGAGGAGGGTGAATGGATGGGCGGGTGTGGGAGGGAGGAGGGGGGAGGAGGGTGAATGGATGGGCGGGTGTGGGAGGGAGGAGGAGGGTGAGTGGACAGGCAGGTGTGGGAGGGAGGAGGGAGGGGGAGGGTGAATGGATGGGCGGGTGTGGGAGGGAGGAGGAGGGTGAATGGATGGGCGGGTGTGGGAGGGAGGAGGGAGGAGGAGGGTGAATGGATGGACGGGTGTGGGAGGAAGGAGGAGGGTGAATGGATGGACGGGTGTGGGAGGAAGGAGGAGGGTGAATGGATGGGCGGGTGTGGGAGGGAGGAGGGAGGAGGAGGGTGAGTGGACAGGCAGGTGTGGGAGGGAGGAGGGAGGAGGAGGGTGAATGGACGGGCGGGTGTGGGAGGGAGGAGGGAGGAGGAGGGTGAATGGATGGGCGGGTGTGGGAGGGAGGAGGAGGGTGAATGGATGGGCGGGTGTGGGAGGGAGGAGGGAGGAGGAGGGTGAATGGATGGGCGGGTGTGGGAGGGAGGAGGGAGGAGGAGGGTGAATGGATGGGCGGGTGTGGGAGGGAGGAGGGAGGAAGGTGAATGGATGGACGGGTGTGGGAGGGAGGAGGAGGGTGAATGGATGGGCGGGTGTGGGAGGGAGGAGGGAGGAGGAGGGTGAATGGATGGGCGGGGTGTGGGAGGGAGGAGGAGGGTGAATGGATGGGCGGGTGTGGGAGGGAGGAGGAGGGTGAATGGATGGGCGGGTGTGGGAGGGAGGAGGGAGGAGGAGGGTGAATGGATGGGCGGGTGTGGGAGGGAGGAGGAGGGTGAATGGATGGGCGGGTGTGGGAGGGAGGAGGGAGGAAGGTGAATGGATGGACGGGTGTGGGAGGGAGGAGGGAGGAGGGAGGAAAGAGGAGGGAGGTGGCCCCATGAGCCCATGACGATGGCGGGAGGGGCAAGCAGCCTCAGACAGGGCCTCACAACCTCTGTAGAGCATCTGGTTGAAGGAGTGACTTGCTCGGCCGGAAGGCAGGCATTTTATTCAGGGTCTGAGCATAGACACTGACGTTCAATAGAGACAAGGAAGGCGAGTCCAGGCGCGAGCACAGGACGAGCTGCCTGGCTCCCACCCCGTGGAGGGAGTGGAGCGAGCGAGCCCGCGGCCTGCTCAGAGACTAAGGCCCTTGAGAGCCTCAGGGCGTGAGGGCCGGGCAGCAGGCAGGTCGTCTACCCACCCCAGCAGCGTCTGCTTCCAAGCTTCGCGGCCGGAGCTCAGGTCCTGCGAGGGGCCAGGTCAGTGCGCCCACAGCCCTCCCACCAGGCTCCCGGGAGAGGCTCCGTTCACCCATGAACCCCGTCCGGAGGCCTGTCCTCAGAGTAACCGCCAGCCTGTCCCTTCCCCCCGACCCAGCCGCTGAGGACGAGGCATCCCAGGCCATAGCGGCTGGAAGGAGGGGCTGGGACTGGGCTCTGCAGGGGTGGGGGGGCAGGTGAGCTGTGGGTCCTGAGGCACCGAGCCGCACCCCAGGCCTGTGAGCCTGAGGCCCACAGTGGAGCCGGGCGTCAGAGCACCGGGACCCTCCCAGGGGGGCTTCGCACCACCTGGGCCAAGGCAGGGAGGGCGGGGGCGAGGGCGAGGGCAGGGGCGAGGGCTTGCTGGGGGAAAGCTCAGGCGTCCTCCGTCCTCCCCATGTGGAGTGACCAGCGCCGAGGCCGCCCGCCCTGACCTGAGAGGGACACTCTGTGGTGAGCGAGTAAAACCACGCACAGCCCTCCAGCACCTGCGGCCGGGAGCAGAAACGACTGGGGAGCCGTTTGAAAGCCGACGGCTGCCTTGTCCGCAGGTCGAGGGGAATGGCTGCACTTGGAGTCTCCTTGTTTAGTTAAGGAGTCTCGGCGGCATTAAGCGCTGAGCACGCACCTGGGGGAGGGTCATCTGAAGGGGAGCAGCATTCTGCCTTGAGCTGGGGCCAGCCCTCGCCCTCCCGCCACGTGCAGGCGCCCAGAGCGGCTGAGCGGGCCCTGCCGTGTCCTGAGGGCCCGGAAGGACAGGCCACAGGTGCAGAGACAGAGCTTCCCACACCACCAGGCTAGAGCCCTCATGGAGCCCTCACTGAGCACGAGGCATCCCAGGCCATAGCGGCTGGGAGGAGGGAGATGGGGAGGAGGGCCACGTCAATCAACGCTCCCCGGCCCAGAGCTGCTCCTGTGGGGATCGCACTGCAGCTGTCTGTGGGGGCAGCGCCACACGGGAGGGGGGATGCACGAGCACGGAGGCAGGGCTGGGGTGCAGGCCCACGGCCACAGTGCAGCAAAGCACACGCTCTGCGCATTCAGGGAGCCCGTGGCCACGCTCACACGGGCTCTTTATGGACAACCACCCCCTCCTCCGGACCTCGCTGGCCAGCTGCTGTCACAGGTCGCCGCCTGGTTCTGCATCGTGTCGCTGTGTCAACGCTCTGTGCACTAAGTCAACAAACTACCAGGAGTGCGCGCTCAGCGGGCCAGCATCCTCTCCACGTCACGTCATTAAACTCCCTCCCACACGACCGTCAGCACGAGAGGGGGTTATTCTAAGGTGAAGGGGACAGCCTTGCGCAGCCCCCACTTAAACAGAAAGCACAACCTAGGACGGCCGAGCACACACTTTAATCTCCCCGTAACGTGGAAGATGTTATTTCCAGACCCGACAATCAACTAGACCCCGTGGAGAAATCACGCCAGCATCCCTGACAGCAGTGAGTGCACAGGCGGGAACGGAAGCCCAAGGGCACCGGGAGTGTGCACCTCGCCAGGTGGTGGCAGCCCCGGCTCCAGAGCGAGGGCTACCCACTCAGCGCTCCCGACTCCCTCACAGGACTGCGTCCTGGTTCTATCCCTCAGGAGGGGGCGCTGCTGCCCCAGGGATGGCCTCGGGGTTGCACGCAGCCCTGCACCAGGGGTGGCCTCGGGGGTGCACGCAGCCCTGCACCAGGGGTGGCCTCGGGGGTGCACGCAGCCCTGCACCAGGGGTGGCCTCGGGGGTGCACGCAGCCCTGCACCAGCGGTGGCCTCGGGGGTGCACGCTGCTGCCCCAGTGGGGCCCAGGCTGGGCGAGGAGCCTCCTGCCACCCTGCAGGTGGGCAGAGTCCCAGGTCCCACAGCCACCTCCCTGCCTGCCCCCCGCAGAGGCCTCGGGAGCGGCTCACCATCGATGCGGCCCACGAGCTCCTCCAGCATCCTCACTTTCATCTGGATCCCGGGCTGGGCGAAGGTGTAGTTGTCCTGAGGGAAGATAACAGCGACGTCACACACACAGCCATGCGGCGTTCCAGAGGGATGCGCAGGGGGACACGTGTGCCCACAGGCCAGGCTGCGCACACGCCCTGGCAGTGCCAGTGAGGCCAACTCCGAGGAGGGCCAGTCCGCCCTCTGATGTCAGAGGCCAGCACCCATCCCAGGAGCAGTGAACGCAGTGTCCCTGCGAGGGGGGGACACACAGACGAGGACACTCGGGCACTGAGGGGGCAGCTCGCTTCCAGAGTGCCTGCCAGAAGTGGACGGCGCTCGGCACAGCCACGTGGGATGGCGACCAGCCCGGCGCTGGCAGTGCCACGTCACGCCAACAATCCGAGGGCCAACAGCACGGTGCCTGCCCGGGAGAGTGAGTGTGTGGCCACTCCCCATGAACGCGGTGACGACACTCACAGACGGAGATAGGAACACCAGTCTAAGTCCCAGGGGGGTCTCAGGTCAGACGGAGCTGGCGTGGGAGCCTGTGACCTCTCTTGGCTCCGCCTCCTCGTCTGGGCCTGGGAGAACGGGGCCACCCGCCAGGTCCACTCCACGGCCGGCACTGCCATCACCCGGAGCCCAGCTCGGCTGGAGGGCAGCGGCACCCCGTCCCCCCGGCTGCCCCACACCACGACCCTGGCCACGGCCACACCCTCAGCCAGCACTCAGCATGTTCAGAACGAGGCAGCAGCTGGCCTCCTGCGGGCACGGACCTCTACGCGCTAGGGGTGACGGAGGGCCGGAGAGCACCCCCCGTGCCACGCCCGCCCTGGGGCCTGCAAAGGGAGCAGAGGTGCCGGCCAACTTGAGCCGGACGTTCCCCTCGGCCAGGTGCGGACCCTCCCTGCGGTGAGACACGTCCTCCCTGTGGCTGCGGGCTGAGACCCGGTGCTTCTGCAGAAGGGGGCACAGCCAGCCAGCGCCTGGTGGGCAAGCACCACCGGAAGCCGCTCTCCCTCTGCCCGGCACCTGGCTGCATTCCGACTGGGCAGAGCGTGGGTCCACAACCTGATGCGAGGGGCTCGGCTTGGTCACAGTGGGCGGGCCAAGGGGCGGGCTGACTTTGGGGCTTTCAGAGGACGAAGCTGACGAGAAACTGAGCTGAGGCCTTTCTGCACAACAGGGTCAGCATGTCGAGGTTACGTCTCGGACATAAAGGTCCTTTGAGCCTCACACTGCCCAGGGCCATCTGGGCACTTACAGCATCACTCAGAGGCCACACAAAGTCATCAACTTAAAACTACCCTCTACTTTGTTCAAACATTTAATTAATTCGCCCCTAATGCCTTGGCAGGGCCAGGGCCATGACGGTGCGGGCCTTCCTCAGCCCGCGGGCCGGACGCCCCCACCCCTGCTGCAGGTCGTGGGGCGCCTGCTGCCCACATGGGCGACAGCAGGGCCCGCATGCAGCCCGGGCACGAGGGCTGCTGGCCTCCAGTGACGGGCAGGGGTGCGTGCAGCACTCGAAGGGCCGCCCCCTTCCCACTCGGCATCCAGGGCCCAGGAGGGAAGTGGGGGCGACCTGGATCTCATGTGGTGACCGACCACGCAGGTCGCTGCTCTGAGGGGACGTGCCCACGGAGCTAGGAGATCCCAAACCTGGAGGCGGGACGAGGGAGCGCGTGCCGGGTGTCACTCATGGGCCCCCGGCTCGGTCTGGGGGAGAGGCTGCCCCGCAGGCCAGCGCCAGTGTCCGAGGCCGAGGGCCCCATGGGCACACGCTCTGCGTCTAACACGGCCACGCCCACTCGGCCACGGGCACACGCACAGACCGAGCGAGAGCAGGCGCCGCAACAGAGCCAGGACCGCCTGTGAGGCCGCTGGACCGTTTCTCCAGAAGCGGAAATGCACGGGCTCAGGCACCACTGCTTTCGGGGAGATTTCTCCCAGTGGGTCCCAGGGACGGCTCGGGGCTCCAACGGCCCCCGTCCCCCGTCTCTGCTCCGTCCCTGCACAGCCCTCCGTGATCCTGGGCATGCAGGGCGGGCTCTCCCGGGGGGTGGCTGCTGCACACTGATCTCCTGAGAAGTGAGGGCGGCCAGAGGCCGGGGTGAGGGACAGGACTCGGGGCGCCGAGAAAGTGTGAGCATCAGGGAGACCTGGAAGGCCCTCTGGCTGAGACAGAGCCCAAGCTGAGGACAGTGAGCGCTGGTGTCCGTGCACTTTAACAGGAGGCACAGCTGGGCTTGGTCTGAGCGCACAGGGCTGGCCATGAAGACTTGCTTTCCCGCTGGAGAGCAGGGAGCAGGGGGAGGGACACCACAGGTGGCGGCTGTGCTGGAAGCTCAGGCGCGGCCACGGGACCTGGTGGCGGGATGGCGGGGGGCTGGGTGGACGCGGGCACATCAAGGAGGAGGAGTAAAGGACAGAGTGGCCTGGCGTCCTCGGGCAGAGGCGGAGCGGGTTAATGGTCGATCCTGACACACTGGGAGGCACACCCACCCGCGGCCCCAGGCGAGCGCTCAAGGACAGGTGCACTGAGGCAGCCTGAGGCCCAGGGCCGCTCCTCACCGCTCCGAGGAGGCCACGACCCTGGCTGACCAGGGGCCTCGTGAGCACCACAATGAGCTGGAGTAGCTGGGGGGCAACATCCCCAAACGTGGGGGCTGCTTCTAAATGGGGGGACGCAGTTGGTGCCACTCCCGCACCTTCTCCGTCCCCAGAATGTCCACCCCAAAGGCACCTCATGCATTGCTGAACCTGGGAGGGTCAGCCCTCCTTCCACCTGAGGGGGCCGTTCCCCAGGAAGGCTGTGCACCCCAAGGCTGTGCCCCGGGGGCACTGCTCCCCAAAGGCTCTGCTGCCCAGGGGATGGCCTGCCTGGCCCGCACTGGCTCTGATGGGGGAAGCATGATCCTGGGGCTCAGCAGGCCGGGTTCCTGGCTCTCACACGAGACGGCATCTCCACCTTCTCACTGAGCAGGAACAGCAGTTCTTCTCTGGTCTCCCCCTGCCACGGTTTTGTTTCTCAATTTGCTGAAAACCCAGGTAGGGAAGACGGGTTCTCTGAGGATCCAAGCCATGAAGGGCCTGTGTTCCGGAAGAGCCCGGGTGCTGGCGCGTGTGGCCTTGGGGCTCGGGTGGGGGCTGGGCCAGGAAGTCAGCCTTCAGTCCCTCCCCAACGACACCGTGGGCTCGGCAGGATCGGCCCGCTGGGCGCAGCGCAACGGCGTGGCGAGTCCTGAACACCGGCTTTCCCCTGGAGCCACGGTCTGGGCTGGGCCAGGCACAGGTGCCTGTGTGACAGGCCTCAGTACCAGCCTGGCACCGAGTCTCCAAGAGCCCCGATGGGCAACACCTCCCACCTGCTGCCACACGTGCAGGACACCTCAGGCCGACCTGCGTGACAGCAAGAGCAAAGCAACCACAACACGGCTCCAGGAAGACAGCAGGAGGCCTGGGCAGCGGCGGCAGCGGGCCTGACGTCAGGACGCAGGAGACATGGAACGCGAGTCCACGTCGTCACCAGAGCACTCTGCTCAGCAGGAAGCACTGGCTGAAGAACGCGCTGACCAACCTCAAACGGGGGGGGGGGGGGATCCTCAAAACCACGTCTGTGAAAGGGCTGCTGCCACAGGAGGAACTATGCCAGGCCGCGCTCTGCTGTCAGGTGTGCAAACAGCACCGCCGATGGGGCGGGGGGTGGGGGGGGCATCGGCTGTTTTTTGTGTGAAAACGGACTGTGTTCCGACAGCAGGACCCGGCCAGGCCCTCAGGGACTGACCCAGGAAAGATGACTCGGGCCAAGAGGACAGGCGCATGGACAGCACAGCAACTCCAGGCGCCGCTGCCAGAGCCGTGCTGGCTGGGCCGGGCCAGAGGTCAGAAGCCACGGGGCGAGAGGCCGCCAAGGAGACTGCTCGGTAATTAAGGGGAATGAACTATCCATCGGGGCAGCAGCATGGATTTTACGTTTCTCGATGCTGCTGTAAATTGACTCTTTTTCCATTTTCATTTTCAAGTTGCTGCTCAATGACTCATTCTTAATGAACCCTCTGCTGCGCGCAGGCACCTGGCACGTGCTCTGTTTAATACCCTGTGCAGCGCTTCCACGCGCGGTCAATGTATCGACCGGGGCTCCGGTCCCAGCTCCCAGACGCTCCCCACCGAGCGGGACTCGGCGCACGTGAGGCGGGGGCAGGCCGGCTCGTCCACCCTCTCTGCCCACGCTGGGCGCCAGGCACGCTGCTCCCGCCACGCTGGCTGCACCAACAGGCCCAGTCAGGGCCCGGGGGCCGCCTGGCGGCACCTTCCCCAGCACCAGAGCAGCCCCTGGACCCCTCTCCTTCCAGCTGAGCTGGAGATGAGGCCCGGGCTGGTCCAGGCTCCAGCATCTCAGCTGGTATCGGAGGGTCCCGAGCACCAGGGAGCTGGTCTTTGGAGCATGAACCTCTCCACGGGCTCCCTGCGCCAGCACTGGCGTCTGTGACAGGCTGTCCCTGCTCTCCCTGCGGGCACCATCTGCAGTGGCTGACGCACACGCTGTACCTGAGGGACGCCCTGCGGCATCCACACCCGCCCCAGTCCCAGGCCTGTCATCCCGGCTTCCTCCACCGAGCCCCTCCCTGTGCACCACACTTTCGGCCTCTCCCTGCGAACCTGTACGTGGGGCAGTGAGGCCTGGAGGAGGCCTGTGCATTTTGCCGACGGAGGAGGGCGCGCCCGCGGCCCGGCTCACCTGGATGCCGTCCAGCAGCCGGCTCATGCACCAGTACGTGTCGGCCTCCACGTTGCGCAGCACGTCCGCAGGCACGCGGGACACATCAGCGATGTCCACGTCCTCCTCCTCTGCAGAGCATGGGAAAGACACGGAGTCAGCCAGGGACCACGACACAGGGCACGGACACGGGACAAGGACACGCAGGCGCGGAGGAGGCTGCTCTGCGGTCACGTCTCCAGGCCCATTTCTCTTGATCTAAGGAGGTGACTCATGTCTCTTCCACCTCATCACTTAGTGCTTCTCAATTTCAATACCTAATCAGACGCAGATAATGAATATTCTGAATCCTTTCCAATTAATTAGCATAATTAATATGTTGTAAATGATTGCTTCTCAAGCAATGCACACTCTAATAAGAGAAAACCTACACGAATTACTTATAACTAACAGAGGTCTGGAAGTTCTCGGTAACACTTTAAAGTCCTGATTCTAAGATATTCCACACACGCTCAGTGATAATCCTCTAAAACCATTTTCCAAGGTGAGAGGTTTCAAAGCCACGGCAGGTAAATCCCAGATTGACAAGCAAAGATCCAAGAAGGCAGCTGCGCAGGCGTCTGAGAGGCTACGAGACCCACGATGTCCCTTGAGTGGGAAAACCTAATGAGGAAACACCATTAAAGTCAAAAGACGCAACACAGATGCTTTGCTGAAATGCTATCAGATGTTCGGACAAACTGACTTCAGACCCTTGTAAAGAAGCTGCCATCCGCATGACACTCACAAGAACCTAAAAATGGTGTATCCTGTTTTTAATTTAATTTGCTTTTGTTTTACTTTGCAATTGTGCAAGGCATCTTTGCAAGGAAAACAACTTTAAAATTGAAAACATAAATGTTAGGTGTCAGAGTCCTGGGGATGTGAAGGTGGGGGAGGGGAGAGGGGCACATCTCAGACCCAGGCTGTGCTCCGCCGCCCGCAGCCAAGGCCCTGCCTGGAGGCCTCCGGGCAGCCTCGGTGGGAGGTGGGAGCTCCCTGATCACAGCTGTGGGCTGGAGTCTCCCAGAGGCACCTGGGCCTCCCCCACCCACCAGACCCCACCCCCCCAGCAGGAGCAGCATAAGGCCTTTCCTGGGCCAGAGCCAGGTCACAGATGATAGAAACGGCCTCCTGAGGGGGTGGCCTCGCTGGGAAGAGTTCCTGCGACTTAATCCACACCCCACCCGCGGGAGCAGCTGGGTGACTTCCCAACTCCAGCGCTGAGTCAACAGCAATCACAGCAGCCTCTTCAGAGGCCCTTTCCGCCCACTCTCCTCCTCCAAGGCCCTTCAAGGCTCTCAGATGCTTTCCTTCCCGAGATGAAAGGTAAACGCGGAGAAAAGCCGTCCAGGACGCGACCGCCTGGTACACAGGGGCGGGGCCCCACGGCCAGGTCCGCGGGACGCAGCTGCTCCCAGGGACGCAGCTGCTCCCAGGCGGCGGGAGCCACGCTGATTTCTCCGCATGTGTAGCTGGCTCGTTGTTTTATCCACGGGAATGTGGGCGGTCTGTTCGAGGCGTCATTTCTCACACAGGCCACTTGCTACTCTCCGACGTGATGCAGTGAAGGCGTTTACTCAGAGGCCTGCCCGGCGATTTGAAAAAGCAGAAAGGCAGGAGCGGGCGGTGGGGACAGCAGCAGGCAGCCGGCGGGCCAGCACCGAGGCGCGTGGAGATGAGCGCAGAGGCCCAGGAGAGGCCCAGGCGGGGCACAGCTGCCACCGACGGGCAGAGCGCAGCTTCCACGTTCTGGGTGCCGCCTTCTGCGGGCCACTCATCTGAACCTTGCTGAGTAGCCGACAGGCAAGGCCGCAGCTGGGCACTGGCCAGGAAGGGCACAGCCAGGTGCCAACGTTCCCCTGAAATCAGAGCCACGCCCTCTGCCTGGGTCTCACTGCGCCTGAGACAGGGCAGCACGAGCCAGCGCCCACTGAGCTCCCTGGGCAGACACAAGTCTAGAAAGTATGACTTCGCCGATGAAAGAACAATCCCTCCATCCCCCGCCCCCCGTCACGTGGCAATAGCGCCTGTGAGCACAGCAGCCCCCGAGCGCCGCCGGGTCACCCGAGGCGGCTCGCTGCCCAGGACCAGGCGGCCCGCGGAGGAGCACCTCACTGGGAGCAGGGTCTGGCAGGGTCTGGCAGGGTCTGGCAGGGACGAGGCCTGGCACAGCGACGGCCCCTCCTGGTGAGCCGGATGGCAGCTGGGTCCGGGACCGGGACCACCAGGGTAAGCCGTGCCCAGGACCTCGAGGGCTTCCAGGACACGCCTCGCGCACAGCCCTCGGAGCCAGCGCCTGCGGCAGAGCAGGCGGCGCGAGGAGGGAGGCAGCTGTGAGGACCAGGCCCATCGCCCCGCGGCATCCAGTGCTCACCAGCAGCCAGAACCGCTCCGCAGCCCCGTCTCCCGCACGCCCCCGCGCGGGGTTGAAGGTCAGCACCTGGCAGCTCATGACGGGGCGTTGAGCCCTTAATCACACGGACTTCAGGTCCGCAGAGACAGTCCTGCTGGGGAGAGCGGCCACCGTCCAAGGCTGTAAATTCATAAAACTCTGGCTCAGCAAAGCAACTGGCGTTGTGCTGAAATTGGACTCGCGGCGAAATGTTTAATCCTGCTGTAAATACTGTCCAACTGCAGGTTGCAGACAAACCGCCGCCACAGTCCCCGGGTGTCACGGGGCGGGAGCGAGTGGGGGGGCGGGAGCGAGTGGGGAAGCTGCTGCAGCTGTGAGGCCCTCGTGCCTGGATCTTTGGTTCTGACATGGCTGTGACGGGAGTGTTGGTTAACAGAAATGCTGTCTATTGAAATACTAACGCCACTGTTAACTCGGATGGAGCACTTTATGTCAGAAAAACACAGGGCAGGGAGGGGGAGGCTGAGGCAGGCGCGCCGGGAGTCCGGCAGGAGAGGCCCCGCCCCGCCTGGTCCCACTGACTCACTCAACCTGCACCGACTGGCTGTGTCATTGCTATTCGCTGAGCAGGGGCACCTGCAGGGAGATGGTGCTCCCATGGCCACGTCTGCAAATTAGATCCAGCCGGGCCTGGCCAGGTGTTCAGTGGGCAGGAGCATCGTCCCTACACCAGGAGGTGGCAGTTCCAGTCCCGGTGAGGGCACGGCTAGGCCTTGGGTCAGAGTCCCGGTGAGGGCACGGCTAGGCTGAGGGTCACAGTCCCGGTGAGGGCGCACCGAGGCTGTGGCTCAGAGTCCCGGTCAGGTGAGGATTTTTTTAAATTTACTTTTTAAAAAGACCCAGCCAGGTAGAGAGTGTGCGTCACAGTGTGACAGGGACAGCTCAGGCTGCTCGGAGAGCACAGGGCCGGAGCCACAGACGGGCACTGGAGCTGAGCCTTGGGAGACACAGAACTGAGCACCCAGGGACGGGACAGGCGACGGGAAGAAGGGCCTGCGGAGCCCAGAGCTGGGCAGCTGCTCGGAACGTCTGCACAACTGAGGCAGGAGGGGGTCTCGGGGACCACGAGGCGCCTGGGCCAGGCTCTGGAACGGGCTCCTCCTAGAGGGAAGGGGAAGCCCTCGGGGACCCCTGCCCATCAGGGTCACTCACCAAGCTGGTGCCTGCAAGCATGGCAGGTGGTGAGGAATCCGACCGGGGAAGGAAGGGCCAATGCCCCCGCCAGGGCCCGCACCCCCCAACCGCTCCCGAGGCACAGACACACTGGGCGCCATCACTGAGGCCCTCACCTCAGGAAAGACAGTGCCAGGACCAGACCCCCCCAGCATGAGGTGCCAGGCTCTGGGCACGGGCACCGAGGACGGGTGGCAGGCGGCTGCCGCACCACCATGGCTCCCTCCTGGCCTGTGTCACAGACGTGTCGCCCCCACCATGTCCTACTTGTCTGCTCTGTCCCCCGCTCCCACCAGGCTGCTCCAGGACAGGTGTGACCTCCGTCATGCCCACGTCCCCACCCTCCGGGAGCCCCGGCAAACAAGCAGCCTACGTCAGCGAGCGCACAGCCCCGGAGGAAGGAGGTACGCAAGTGACTGGATCCGAAACAGTGGACTCTGCCAAGACGTTCTGCGAAGAACGAAAGGAACAAAACCCAGATGCCCTGGCTGAGGGACGTGCGCAGCCCTGCTGAGCCGGGACGATAGTCAAGTCTGGCCTGCTCTGCTGATGGCAGTGCCCACACTGAGTCAACAGGACTCGGCTGCTCAGGAGGACACAATCTCCAGACACTCCCGTGGGACGTGCTCTCGTCCACGAGCCGCGGGGCGAGGCTCAGCCCGCGCGCGCCCGGTGTCCCCAGTGTCCAGGGTGACAGGGCCCGGGACTGCACACTTCAGGCCAGCTGGAGGGTCCCTAAAGCAAGATTCAAAAAGATGGCAGACCAAGCAGATGTATGGACCTGGGCCCTGCCCTGCGCCTCACACGGGCACCTGTGGGGAGCGCGGACCACGCCCTGCCCGAGGGAGACCGCGCAGGCCTTGGGGGGCAGCGGGAAGAAGCCCGCTCAGCCGGAACGCAGCTGGGGTCCTGCCCTCGGCCGGGTCTCAGTGGCCATGGCCACGCGTGAGCACAGACAGCTCCTGCCCGACACCCTCCTCCACTGGGGAGCCGGCTCTGAGGGCAGCTGGGCGGCTGGGAAGAAACATTCCCAAGAGGCCTGTGGACCCAGTGGCCCCTTCAGAGGCCATGGGGGCGGAGGGCGGTGCTGGAAAGGCTGCCACGCAGGCCAGGGCCATGCAATCAGGGCAGTGTTGACCACAGGCCACCAGGATGAGGGACTCGGACAAGCCTAAGCCGGGTGGGTGCTCAAAGGTGCAGAGAAACCGTGACACGCTGAACACACCAGAGGAGGAACGTGCGGGAGCAAGAGACTTCGGGCTCGCTCAAGAGCGGAGGCGGGCGAGGCGGGTGGGGTCTGGTCCCCTGGGACCTGAGCAGACAGTGTCAAAGGAGCTCGGGAAGGGAGAGGGAGGGGAGTGGGAGGCCCTGGCCTTTCCCGTCAGGGCCCCTGACCCGTGGGTGGCAACGGGGGCGCCTGGGCCCCTGCAGGCTCGCAGACCCAGGGACACAGTGCTGACGCGGCAGGCCGCCGCCCGCAGTCACGCTGTCACCCGGCCCGGA